AACGAATGGGCTTTATGCACAGCTGCACTACTTCCTGAACTTCAGCCAGCTCCTTGTTTCCTGTATGCCATTATTGGGCAAAATTGATTAATTCAGGTGTGTCTGATTATTGTTGCCATGACTACTGAGGTCAAGCACACCTGCATTAATTAATGTGTCCAATAATGGCAGACAGGAAACAAGGAGCTGGCTGAAATTCAGGAAGTAATGAAGCTGTGCATAAAGCCAATTGACTCGGAAAAAGATTTGTTCATTTTGATGAACGAGTTCGAACAGGAGCGCATCACGAAGCGCATCACAGAACAGAGCAAGGCGAGCATTTGAGCTTATAAAACTTAAACTTTGATATTTATTTATTAAATGACCAATCGTTTCGCTTAATAAGATCCTTATTCATCGTCTTGTGTCGTTTAAAGCCCTTTGAACAGTTTGCACTGAAACTGTCTTTTGGACCTTGAACCGTCTGGTTCCCATTGAAGTCCATTATATGGAGAAAAATCCTGGAATGTTTTCATCAAAAACCTTAATTTCTTTTCGACTGAAGAAAGAAAGACATGGACATCTTGGATGACATGGGTGCGAGTAAATTATCAGCAATTTTTTTTTTAAAGTGAACTACTCCTTTAAGTGCGGTGTGAAATAATAATCAAGGAGAATATACCGTGGCAGTTGACATGAGCGCTGATGTACCTCAAGGTGTTTGGTGGCCTCCTCGTTCCTGGACATGAGCATGAGTTTAGTGCGGATGCTGCGTAGATGCATGTCACTCAGCAGGGAGACGCGCTTGACGGTGGCCTCGCTCATGGACTAGAGGTGAGCAGAGAACCTGGATTAAGCTTTCGCCACAGCCAAACCCACTTACAGAAGAGCTATGATCAACTGGGACTCACCAGCACAATCAGTTCGCTGTGCTCCGGGCTGTAAACAATCCGAATGGCTCCAACCGCCTTCTTGAAATCCTTGTGGGCTTGTTCACTCTCACATCTAACATGAGCAATGAAGAAATCAGTTCATGGTTGTAACCAATATTGTCGCATCAGCACAGTTGAACTATAATATATGTGCAAGTCACATTTTGCCCCAAAATCAAAGGAAAAAAAATAATTCTGCTTAAAGAAACAAAAGACGTCACACTATTTTGCATTGCAATATAATTATATTAAGCACATTTCACACCCAAATTGTCATTAATCTATTTATTTATGACATTCGTTACTTTAGTGTATCAAAATGATTTGCTTTTGAGTTTGTTTGCAATTCTCATTCTCAATGGTGACCCTTTGGAAGTTTGTTTCCATCCCAGAATGAAAAATAAAAACGTAATTGCGACTTATCTCGCCATTCTGACTTACTTTTTCACAGAATTGCAAGAAATAAACTTGCAATTGCAAGAAAAAAGTCAGAATTGTGAGCTCAAAAATTTGAATACCATGCAAAAGTTAATTTATTTCAGTAATTCAACCTAAATGGTGAAACTAAGTATTTTTATGATTATGCCTTACAATTTTCTCATTCTGAATTTGGGGTTTTTATAAGCTGTAAGTCATAATCACCAAAATGATAACAAATAAAGGCTTGAAATATCCCACTTTTTTCATGTAGTGAGTCTATATAATATATTTTAATTTCAACTTTTAGGTTAAATTACTGAAATAAATAAAACTTTAAACTTTTGCACAATATTCACATTTTTTCGAGTTTCACCTGAATATTAATTATAGAAAAAAAAACTTAGTTAAGATATTTAAAATGGCAAACGTGAGAAAAAGGTCATTTACGAGATATAAACTCGAAAGTAATTTCGAAAGACTCGATAAGTCATTTTCATGCCATGAAAACGTCACAAAAAAATATTTCTACAAAAAAAAATATTTTTACAATTTATGATCCAATTCTTATGTTTAAAAGCCTGATTTTAGTTTTATAGGCAAAAAATTTACCAAGATATGGATTTATTTACAGTAACCCCCCCCCCCCTTTTCTGTTTAATAAACATCCCAGGATGCACCTCACAGTATAATTTGTGTAACATTTTTCAGTTAACACAAAATGTTGGTGTCTCAATCATCACTGGATTGTCCATGGTTGTGTCCAAACAGTACTCACGCTGCCCTGAGATCATCTGGCACAGGAACAGAGCACTTAAAGAATGTGTTCTCCGTCACGGCTTTATTGCGGTTGACTGGGCGGAGACGCTCGAACGTTACGATCTCGTTGTAGGTTGCGTCACATGCGGCGTACTCGATCACATAGAACTGCAGGAAACAAAAGTGAAAGTGAACTCAAGAGATCTTCAGAAGAAAGCGAAAGTTAACTGAGCGAGTCATACTCACATCTCCCTTCATCATGCGCACTTTAGCCAGCCACCAGCCACAGGGCTCCTGCTCGTTCGCTCGCGAGAAAATCTGCACAGCACAAGTTAAAGAGTTAAGAGTTTATGCAGCTCAAATACAGAGCAATACTAATAATACACATATTTCCTCACCTCCACTTCCTCTCCTTCGATGATCTCCTTTTTGCCATCAGCAGGAGGTAACCGCACATCACTGAAGGGGACTTGTCTTTCAGGTTGCCAGCTGAGAAAATCATTTTCATATAATTATGCTCATCTCATTTTTCTCTCATTTTCATGATTGTGAAATATTAGCTTCTACTCACTTATTTTCAAACGAAACGGAGAGAGAGTCCTCATGAATGTCTTTGACAAAGCCCTGGAATAATGTGATTTATAATTTTTTTAAATGAATTTAAACAAGTAAATACATTTATTCATATATATATATATATTTTTACACACACACAAAAAAGTTTTTAATGCTAAAATAGTTGTAAAAATTTGTGCTGTCCAAAACAGTTATTATTGTTAAGAATTATAAAAACATTTTCTTCAATGAAAAAACTATTGAAATAAAATAGAAATATTAGACAAAAAATATAAATGTTGCTTTGGAAAACAATTTTAAGCACTAAAACTGAAATAAAATACATTACAAATATATACTAATATAAATTAAAAATAGCCTAAATAGAAATTTAAGAATTGAAAAAAGCAATATTTCTCTTAAGTTTAACAAAACAAACAAAAAAATAATTGTATATATATATATATATATATAGTAGTTATAGTATAAAATATATATTTTTTACATTATAAATATATTTTATACTATAACTACTGGAAGTAAAACTGAATTATAACTTTGTCAAGTCAACATACTCAAAATAAATTAAACCTAAATAGAAAATTAAAAACTGAAAAATTTTTTCTTTGAAGAACTTTGAAAATATTAAAATAGCTATCTGTAATTAAAATAACGCTGAAATAAAATGAAGATGATAAACTTGAAAATGAAAATTAAAAATGTTGTCTTGGCAACTAAAAGAAATAAGTTACTAAAATAAAAATATATATTTCAAAATAATAATAATAACATCCAAATTATTAAAACAAGCTCAAATTAAAACGAAAATATTAAGAAATTTAAAGAAATCAATAAAATAGTAAAATAAATAATACAAAAACAAGTTATGAGATAAAAAGAATAAGCACCACAGAATAAATGTAAGAAATAAACAATTTATAAAAATACAAAGACTTAAACAATAAAAGACTTTCTAATTATGTTTTACCAGCTCTATTAACACAGAAAAAAACAAAAGGTACAACATGACAGCGTTATAATGAATCTAATGAATATTTCGTCAGAGAGCTTGTTTATATGAAGTGTGGTTATACGCTCACAATGCGTTTTGTTTTAATAAGTAGTATTTTGACTACTAAAACATTTAAATATGTTACAAAAAATGAGCATTGTTTCGTTTAATATGTAGGCCTAGGTAGTACCAATCATAAGGTGTGATCAATCAAATAGGCCTATAAAATTAAATTGATAGTACATTACTTCATTACTTAAGACCAACTAACTGGTCGGCACTGCCTCTCAATGGCAACTGGCTCCAAAATGGAAGTCGGTATCTCTTAAACCTCATCTCAAAATAGACGGGTGTTAAAATATCTGCAGTGCTGGATGACAGCTGGAGATGGAAACCCGACAGCTGAGATAAAGCAGAGCAGAATGACTGAGGGATGAGATGGACACAGAATAATAACTTACACCATGTGTTTATTAATACTTTAAGTGGGAAGTAGTAACATCGTACACATATTAAGACGTATGTCTCAAACTAATTCTCTTGACACGATCAATTCATCTGGTCGAAAAACACAAGCTGCTTTTATGATTTGATCATGTCTGACCACACCTTAAATATTAATATGAGCTTCCTGGCATATTTGTTTTAGCTTGACTAAACCTACATCTGAGAAACGTACTGGCAATCACTCGTGTTCAAATAAACAGTCGTAACTTACTTGCATTATAAATGGATCATGAAGGTTAATAGATTGTGTGTGCCTCAACACAATAACAGTAAAACTAACGAGCATGACCGATAGCAGGTTTGATGAACAACAATGACCAGCTCCTGACTTTTATATTGGTATTTAGATTGTATTATCAGAGCATTTATTATGGTTAATAAATTTATATAAATCGTTAAAAGACGACATAATCGTACGCGTGACTACATAATGTTCAATAACAGTTAGCAGATAAAGAAAGTGAAATCAAAAGTGATTTATTCGAGCCTTAAAGCTCAGTTTCTCCTAATGTAAACTTATTTAGTATGTAGTTGAGGTTAAATCAAACTTAGCATTACATGGTGTAATGTTTTGATTATTAAAATATCCTCGCGCGGTTGCTAACCGGCTAACGGCTAACAGAGACTGAGTACAGTATACTATTTATACGCGTTGAAAGTACATGATACAGTTCGTTTTTCAATATTTACTTGAAGGTTTTACAATCCAGAGTGTCTTATGAGATACATACGAGCGTGACGTAGAGAATAATGAAGTAAAATACTGTATTTACCTTATAATAAGCTCCATTGGAGCCACGGACCTCCACCGTCAATTCCTCCATGTTGAGCGCGAAGAGGATGCTGGGTAAAGTTCCCGAACTCTACAGGGCTCAACAGTGAACCCTGAGGAACTCCTTCATACAGCACTTCAACCAGAGATGAGGAAATACGTATGTATTTAAAACAGTACTTAACTTTGTGCCTACTTTGTGTCTACTTTATTCAAGTATAGATTCTGTTTACTTTTATTATTATTTTTGTATTACTTGTACAACATTTTGAAAAGAAAACACTCATCAAAGATCTCTTAATTGTACAATGAAATCAAAATTGACTATTCTTATTTTTATTATTATGGAATATTGTAGTATTATAAATGATTTATACTTTTATTTTCATTTATGTGCTCTCATAATCTTTGATTAAAACTTTCCCTCCCTCTCTCCCTCTTGCTTCAAAATCCCTTCTCTTCTAAGTTGATGAGATCCAGCAAAAGCAACCCATAACAAATTCCTGATGAACAAAATCCAGTCTACATTTTTTTTCATGGTTGAGGAGCCATTTCACTTGGTGCCCGTTTAATGCTTCTGCCAGTGGATGCCCACCCTCCATAAATTGTTGCGAGTCACTCTCTCCATGCCTATATATTAAGGTAATTGCTTAATATGCCATTTATAAATAAAAGTGTAACACTGTAATATAATGGTAGAATTGCGTGTATTACCCTATGGACCCAAACTCAGGTCCACCAATCAGAGAGGTTTCCGAATCTCGATTAAAAAAAATGTTATTGTTGATTGTTTGACTATTTCTTCCCTCAAAGTCGTCATGAACAGCTAATGAATGGCTTGGATGTTGTGAAAAGGCAAAGTTAAAAGAAGTTATAATCATTTAATTGAACTGTTTATCTAATTGAAGCCATTTTTTTCATATAATATTTAGCAGATAAAGTTTATTATTTAAATAACATCATAATCAGCGAGCCGAAAAATAATTCAACCTGAAACAGCAAACATAACCTTTTTCTTTATACTGAAATTGCACTTATAAAACAGGGTTATGTGGTACATACATAAACTGAAAAATGATTCATTAATTGATGATCCATATAAGGCGCTCCGGATTATAAGGAACACTGTCGTTTTTTGAGAAGATATAAAGGCTTTTAAGTGCACCTTATAGTGCGGAAAATACGCAAATAGAAAAGCGTATAGCGCGCATCTTCCTCTGCTTGTAAACAGAAAGTTTTGCGCTTCCAGCTATATCAGCACATCATTTTATACGGTAGGGGGCGGTAAAACTCCTAAGCGGTGAGCAGCCGGTAACAAGAAGTAGACGAATGAGAACGTCCTCGTCTCAGTTCTCGCGCATGCGCCCATAAGGAAGTAATGGAATAGTGGAATAAAGTCGTTATTTATGTTTTTTTTTCGCACAAAAAGTAGTCTCGTCGCTTGATAAACGTATAATTGAGCCGCTGTAGGCACATGGAATATTTGGAAACATGGAAACCTTTTCTTTAATGACTTTATGGGCCGTCAAGAGCCAGTCCCTTAGGCAGTCTATCTAGGACTGATCCAGCTCTCAGATTCAATCAAAAATATCTTTATTTGTGTTCCGAAGATGAACGAAGGTCTTACGGGGTTGGAACAGCATGGGGGTGAGTAATTAATGACTTAATTTTCATTTTTGGGTGAACTAACCCTTTAACAGTATAATACACTGATTTGCTAAGGTGTTCACAGTGGTTTGTAGAGCATTTCAATGCTGTAGCTAGGGTGTTATGTGTGCCATGTAGCTAGGTGTTATGTGCTGTAGCTAGAGTGTTATGTGTTCTCTGGTGTTTTTGGATAATTGGATAATAACTTCAATAATTTATTTTTATCCATCAGTGTGTGGTTGCATTAAGCCCCGGCTAATGTGTTACCAGTGTTTTTATTGCATTGTTTTGTGGTTTCTAATGGGTTATGAATGGGTTATGGGTGGTTGCTAGAGTAATGCAGTTGCTAAAGTGTTCTCAGTTGTTTGTAGAGTTGTTATGCAGTAGCTAGGGTGTTCTAGTTGGTTGCCAGGGTGTTGCCAAGCAGTTTTAAAGGGGGTTTTTTGTACAGTGTTGTGGATGGTTACAGGGTGTTGCTAAGCAGTTTTTTTTTATTGTTTTATCCATCGCTTTGCAGTTGGTAGGGCGTTCTGGGTGTTTGCCAGGGCTTTGGTGAGCAGTTGCTAAGGTGTTCTCTGTGGTTTTTTAGCTTATTTCTATGGTTGCTAGGGCGGTCTGGGTGGTTGCCAATGTGTTGCTACAGTAAGATTGATACAGTGTTTTTATTATTCATCACTATGCGGTTCCTGGGGTGTTCTGGGTGGTTGCCATGGCATTGCTAAGCAGTTGCTAAGGTGTTCTCAATGTTTTAGTAGTGCATTGCTATGTGGTTGCATTCATGTCCAGTGAGACTGGGGGAAATATGCATCACCCCACATATACTGTCCATATTGTGTTGTTATTGTGGCAGAGGAATGCCAGCATCCTTTCATTCATTCACAGAATCTGTTGGAAAGAGACCTTGGATATCATAACATAGACTCAAGCACCCATCAGCCCCTACTGGATATCCTAACATAGACTCAAGCACCCATCAGCCCCTGCCAGTCATCATTGTTGCCATGGCTACTATATAATCAGTTGTGCCATTATTTATTTAGTACATTTGCCAAGTATTAAAATAATGATGTTAAACATCATACAAGTATTTTTTCTCATGTACTACGTTAACTCTTTCATACATTAATCATGACAACCTCTGTCAGGATTTTTAGGGCATGAAAAACAAGATTACATTTTTTTTTTTTTTTTTTTTTACATATAATTTTTTAAATGTCCTCTTGAGTGGACAATGTGTGCTTTTGATTTTAACTGAAGATATACAGTAATATAATACAGTAATAACAAAGCAATACTGTGTGTAATTATCCAACCAATTAATACAATTATATAAAATCATGTGAAAACTAAAAATAATAAAGCATTACAAGTAACAATCAGATTACCTTTCTGATGTAACGAATAAAGCATTACAAGTAACATGCATAATGTAATCAGATTACTTTCTGATGTACCGAATAAAGCATTACAAGTAACATGCAAAATGTAATCAGATTACTTTCTGATGTTTCAATTAAAGCATTACAAGTAACGTGCATAATATAATCAGATTACTTTCTGATGTAACGAATAAAGCATTACAAGTAACATGCAAAATGTAATCAGATTACTTTCTGATGTTTCGAATAAAGCATTACAAGTACCATGCATAATGTAATCAGGTTACTTTCTGATGTTTCGAACAAAGCATTACAAGTAACGTGCATAATGTAATCAGATTACTTTCTGATGTTTCGAACAAAGCATTACAAGTAACGTGCAAAATGTAATCAGTTTACTTTCTGATGTAACAAATAAAGCATTACAAGTAACATGCATAATATAATCAGATTACTTTCTGATGTTTCGAATAAAGCATTACAAGTAACATGCATAATGTAATCAGATTACTTTCTGATGTTTCGAACAAAGCATTACAAGTAACGTGCATAATATAATCAGATTACTTTCTGATGTTTCGAACAAAGCATTACAAGTAACGTGCAAAATGTAATCAGTTTACTTTCTGATGTTTCGAATAAGCATTACAAGTAACACTCAGATTACCTTTCTGACGTAACGAATAAAGCATTACAAGTAACATGCATAATGTAATCAGATTACTTTCTGATGTACCGAATAAAGCAATACAAGTAGCGTGCATAATGTAATCAGATTACTCTCTGATGCAACGAATAAAGCATTACAAGTAACGTGCATAATGTAATCAGATTACTTTCTGATGTTTTGAATAAAGCATTACAAGTAATGTGCATAATGTAATCAGATTACTTTCTGATGTAAAGAATAAAGCATTAAAAGTAACATGCATAATGTAATCAGATTACTTTCTGATGTTTTGAATAAAGCATTACAAGTAATGTGCATAATGTAATCAGATTACTTTCTGATGTAAAGAATAAAGCATTACAAGTAACATGCATAATGTAATCAGATTACTTTCTGATGTTTTGAATAAAGCATTACAAGTAACATGCATAATGTAATCAGATTACTTTCTGATGCAACGAATAAAGCATTACAAGTAATGTTCATTATGTAATCAGATTACTTTCTGGTGTAACAAGTAAAGTAACGCATTGCAAGTAACATGCATAATGTAATCAGATTACTTTCTGATGTATTTAATGAAGCATTACAAGTAACGTGCATAATGTAATCAGATTACTTTCTGATGCAACGAATAAAGCATTACAAGTAACGGGCATAATGTAATCAGATTACGTTCTGATGTAACAAGTAAAGTAACGCATTGCAAGTAACACGCATTACATAATCACATTCCTTTTTTAAAGTGTACATAACTGTAAATTACATTAATTACATATATAGCTATATTTATTTACATCCAAAAAAGTAACTTCATCTGAAGTATTATTAAGAACAACAGTCACATAATTGTAGCTGAAATATAGTGATCCATGATGTCCAAATTAGTGGACAGATGATTAATCAGAATTTCCTCCCAATCTAAAATGTACTTTTTTTAAACTACTTTTTTGTTTGTTTTTTACCTGCAAAAATAAAGAAAGGGATGGATATTTATGATCACCTTGGCATTTCTGGCATTTAGGTTTGAAGAAACAAAACATCCACATACAAAGCCTTGCCACTTGAAGGCGATGTAAAGGATGATGCACTAATGTGCATGTAGTGGTTGATGTGCAACTATGCCATCAAAACCCATTCATGCATATGCAAGAAAATGCTTTTTAGTGACCTCTGTGCATGAAAGGGTCAAACAGATTTCCATAACTGTATCTTTACATTTATTTAAGTATGATGCACTTACCAATTCCCCGGATCCTCTATTATACACATATTGCACACACTTTTACATCATACAATACATATTTTAAACATTTAAAACCTTATTTTATCGTTTTACCATTAAATCAATTTGTTTCATTTTCATTTTAATGATGACATTATATTATAATGCATATAAAAACAACCAAATATTCCTTGTTCTGGACATGACACATTTAAATAAATGGCATCATATGCCAAAATGTCATCTAATGTATTTTATACATTTAGTTCAAGTAGACTTTGTTGATAAACTGATCTTAAGCAAAATGAGATCACAAACCAAGTGCATGAAAAATAGGGAAAATCTGATGCTGACATCTAGTGGTGAAATACCAATAGTTATTTTATTTTATTTTTTTGGACATTCTCATACACTGATGTCAGCCACTAATATTTGATTTAAAAAGAAAAAGTTTGAAAAATAATAATAGATTGTCAAGCAAAATATAGTTCATGAATATCAGTGCACACTTTTAGCATTACTTACAGTATGCTAAAATGTTAACATTGATTATTAATACATAAAGCAAAGCCTGTTCACATAATTTATTACTTGAATAGGCAAGGTCCCCTAAAACTAAACTTACCTACATATTTGATTTACAGAACACTCATTCCCCATAGATTTATATTCATATTTGATATGCATTAAGCATTTACATGCATTATCATGTTTGGGTGCC